ATTTTCAATTTTCAGACAGGTGTGTCTTGATTTGGTTTTAGCCAGGAATTTTCATCTCAGTGCATCACAGAAAAAAAATCAGTCTTACAAATTTTCCTTGTTACTCCAAAATGTAGTAATGAGCTTTACTGTTCCTCAGTGTTGTAGTATTGTAGAGGTTGGAGGAGTCTTTGTGCTATGTGTGATTTTTGTGTGTGATGTATGGAGCGGTATGTGGTTTGTATGCTGATCTAATGATGAAAGGTAGTTTCTTTGGGGTTTTCTTGTTTATGTGTAGAAGCCTCTGGCTGATGGATGGCTGTTCGGCACATGAGAGAGGCACAGCGGGCCGTGACTGAGGGGACGGGCCTGAATGCTTCAGCTGGTCAGGTATTTTTGATTGGTCTCACATGAATGGAAGACAGGGTCATTTATCTTAAAGTCTCAGACCATGTTAGGAACTCAGAGGTACCATACCATACCATAGCAGAACACAGTGCATTTTTAAAATGTTTTGCTTGTTAATATGCTATTGTCTTTATGCAACCAGGGAAGGTCAACACAGTAACCTTCCTTCTAAAAAGTAACAAATAAATGATGGATAACTTTACATGGTTGGAAATCAAAAAAAAAAAAATTCACCAAACACAGCAGTGCTTTGATCATATCCAAATTCAGATCTCCGTTTTTTTCCAGGGAGACGTTGCCTCATGTTGGGAAAAAAAGATTTTTGACTGTTCCTTCTCACTGTATTTGGTCTTTTAGTGCATGTATCAGAGATCCTCCCCCAGATATTTAACATTTTCTGAATAATGAAACAAAAAAATGTATGCTTTTGAAGGTGGTGAAATGTCATACACTACCTGGGAGTGCATTATTAGTAGGTGAAAGAAAATAAGTAAAAACAAAAAATGTGAGATCTTGCACGCTCATTAAAGGGGTGATTATAATGACAGCTACAGGAATAAATGATTACTTTATATTCACATATGCACAATATCATCAACTTAAAGTTTTTTTGGAAACTTTTTTAGAAATCATGAGCAGTTGTATCACTGTCAGTTCCTAAAAGAGGTTAAATTATGATCAAATCTGATCACTCTGACTTAAAGCAATTAGCACTGTGATCACTAGCTAACTGCACTACAGAGTATCCACAAGTGGAGCTTCGGCTTGTCAACATCTGATTTAAATTAATCAAAGACAAAATAGAAAGCTGTTGTTTGGTTTATTTATGATCAACAGTAATTTGTAAATTTCTTGCACTGCATTTCTAATTTCTTAATATTCATATTTCAAAAAGAGACAGGTCACTTTTTGAAATATAAATGGAGAACCTGCAGCATAGTGACTGTTTATGAAAAAAGTCATGCCCTTCAATAAAATGAGCCAACTGGCTTGCCGGTAGACTAGCAAGCAGAAAAAGCTCACCCAGGAAATATCTTTAAGGAGATATGTTCATATGTTCTAAGATGGAGTAGACAGACTTTTCTACAATGACTTTAAAGAAAGTTTGTCCACTCCCATGGACAACTCTGATCTCCAGTAATACAAGACCAGGCTACTGTCTCTTTGAAAAGGCAGAGACCTATAAACCCAAAAGTAAAAGCCAATGCATATTTGAAATCAGCGGTAAAATGTGACAAAACAGCATAAAGTGTTTGTGACGTTTGGCTCAGAAACCTCACAAAAAACACAGTTTCTAACTTTGTTCTAGTTATTGTGCATGTGTGTACCTCCACAAAAGGGGACCATAATGCTTTGGAATAATTTGAATTGTGCTAATTAATTAATTAATTCCTTTTTATAATTAATTATTTTTATTTTGTATGTGTGTGAAAGGTCACTCTGCACATTACCATGGTTTTGCGAAACAAAGCATGGTGAACCCCCTGTAATGCAGCTGCGAATGGCTTACTGCTTTTACAAAACAGAGAATCCTTGGCACCTCAAAACAAGTAGAACTTTAAAAAGCACTAAACAGCAAAGTTTGCATATTGGAGAAATAAAAACACCAGGCTAGTGTGAGTTCAGAAACTCTTTATGTATTACGTTTTTATTTAAATGACTGGCTTATTGTGGAGCATTAACATGTTGAAAAGTAAAACATAATGAGTCCAGCATTTACCTGCTTTAAATGACACAATTGCACTTAAAGGCCTGGATACATTAAACTGGTTCGTGTTTGAATTCGGGAAAAGTGCTCAGTACCTGAAACAAAATGACGGCGTGTTCTTGTAAGAAGTTTACTTCATCTGTGATTAATAAATTAATAGGAACAATCCAATATTTCTTCTGCTCACTCTGGTAATAAAGCTGAACAATCAGATTGAAATTCAGGTTGGAATCACACACAAATTATTGCCTTTACAGTGCTTCATTTACACCACATCACACAAACTACTTTTCTATTTAGTAACAGCTCAATTTGTTGCACCTGCTATGTGTATCCAGGCTCCTAACTGCATTCCAGACGTTTGTGTCTTCCAAAAACCAAAGAAAAAGCCCCAAAACCTGTTGATGGTGGCTTTAGAAACGAACATAAGCGTATTCTAAGTCATTTCACAAAAGAGACTGTGAGACATCAACAGTTAATCACATCAGCTTCTAGCTCTGCTGCATTTTCAGGAAGAAAAATAACAAAACTTTTAAAAAAATCTTTCTGTAGCATTAAAAAAACTCCAAATGCACATTAACAACTCTAACTGCACACAAAGTTTTCATGTCCTCGACTTTTTCTTTAAATGATCACAGGCCAACCAGCATGAGATACAGAACTACTGACAGGAGAGCGAGATGGACATTGTAAAGAAACAAAACAAAAGACTCTGAGTTTAGTACATCTTACATTTGAAGCAACATGTGCTAAGTTGCTTTTAACGTGAAAAATAACCTTATGACACAAAATAATCACTTTTTTTACTTGAATAGAAGCAGATACAGTAAATAATCCATCAAAACAGTATCAAACACGCAACAGCTGATTTCTGAAATGGACCTTTACAGTGGTTCACTGACATATGGGCTGGTTTTACATGGGCAGTTTACATCATATTCATGCAAACAGTGGAAAAACAAAGCTTGTTAATTTCCCTTTCTACCCGTCTCCTTTCGCCTACTGCCTCCACTGCAGAAATGCATGTACACTCTTTACAATAAAGAATGGTTCTTGGCTTGTAGGAAATACCTTTGTTTGGTATAGAACCTTTTAAAGTGGTATACATAAATGTAGGCACCCCTGGTCAAATTACATTTTGTTGATTTTCTAAGTAAAAGTAAGTTAACATGTCCTCAACAGAGAACACACTTCTGCATATTTTAACGCACAAATACTGTTTATTTGTTGAATTTAACATATTGGGGGAAAAAATAAAAAGCAAAAGACTGTACATTATGTGAAAAGTTTTTACACACACTACCAAAAGGTTCTTCATAAAACAAAAAGTGGTTTGTCAATGGCATTGCGCTGAAGATCCCTTTTTGGCACCCCTATTTTTTTACAAGCGTAGAGTAGTTCATAATTATTACCTATTACCTCTGCAAATTTCCAGTGGCTGTTATGCATTCTCATAATAGACCTGTTGTGAAGCATTGTGGTTCATTTAGGTTAAAGAGGTGGACTGACAGGAGATTTCACTCTTAAAAATAAAGGTGCCCAAGAAAGGTTCTTGGGAGCGATGCCATTGAAGAACCACTTTTGGTTACCTAACGAACCTTACAACGGACGCTTCTTTAAAAAAACACTAAGTAGAAAGGTTCAGATTTTGGTTTAGGGAACCAACAGTAACCAACAGTGGTTCTTTTAAGGTATCGCTCCAAAGAACCTTTTTTGGCACATTTATTTTTAAATGTGTAGGTCACATGGGGGCATGGAGAGGCCCACGTTCATTACACTGGCCGAACGCACAGCGCTTGACCCAACGCAAGCAACAACAACAGTGAAAACAAAAAGTCTCACACAGGACACAGAAATAAAACTCCACTAGATCCAAAACCAAACAGCTCACCCCTTAACCCCTTCATTCACATATGAGTAGAAAAATAGGCTCCACCATACAGTCAAATAACAAAATGTAATAGAGAAACAACAAATAAAAATGAAAAATGTACTTTCTTATGTCGAACTCAATATTGCGCTTTGTATATGCTCTAATCCTAAAAGGCCTGCACAAAAAATAACAATTCTGAAGTAGGCTTTGTGGCAGTCTACGTAGTCAGTTAACACAGGAAACAAGTAAATGATTTATAGTTTCACTGAAAAATGGATATTGTTCATAATGCTGAAGAACACTTGAGTTACCAAATATTTAAAAATAAATGAAACCCACAATCACCTTCCTTATCATCACAAGCTGGGTGCTATGTATTTTTCTAATTTCTTCACTTTTATCATGAAAAACCAATCAGCAGCTCAAAAAAAGAAAAAAAGTCCTCTTTGCAATTTAGGCCATTTTAGAGATGTTTTGGCCAAATGAAATATTTTTTTCATTTAGTCCTTTTGTCTTCACAAATTTACAGACAACCCACATGCTGCTCTGCTTAAGGACCCATTTGATTCAGTTGTGTTTGTATTTTTGTACATCTGTAAATATTTTGGTTTTGGGTGGTTAACTCCATGCAGATGGAATTTTCTCCTTGCGTCACACCTGCTAATGGCAACCAGCTTTAATACTGGTTAAAAAATCCTTCCTCTAAACTAAAAGGGTCAGCAGAGTGTTACCATTGCCATTCCTGGGTTTAGACTAGAGTTCAGCTATGAATGGAATAACCAGAGAAAAGTATGACACCACTGAAACTGTGTATCGGTAATTAGAAATCAGGTCCTTGATTAATTTTGATTTATCTCTTAACTAATGCCTAAAGTCCATACTGAACTGGGGAGCTATCACCTCAAATGTATATTACAAAGGAAAGGCAGCCAAGCTATGAAGCCAACAAACAGTCATGGCAAAAAATAACAGCAACCACAGTGCAAAAAGAGAATGGAAAATTTAAAAAAGAATTCTATGCACAGCTTAATAAGACAGTACAGCTGATTTTATTTTGATAAGCATTACCATAAATTCTGATAAGATCAAATATTAAAATTCATGAAGTGTAAACAGTAATGCATGACAAGACAAAAAAAGTCTCAATATTTTTAAGATTTTATTTTTTATGTATAAACACTGTACATAAATTACTTTCTCTGAGACTAATATTCATGTACGGATAAGTGTAACTTTTTTTAAGTTTAAAAAAAAAATCCATAAAGATACTCTCACATCTTGTCAAAAGACTGGTCAGATATGATATATATGTTTAGTTTTGTCTGTTTTGCTCTCTACTCTATGTCCGCCAACAATTGAGCTGGTTCAATAATGACCTTGAACACTTAACTTGAATACTCAAATCTTAACTGTGTCCTTTAAGAAAGCGAAGCAGGAAAGGATCATGGCCAGTTCACTCACGGCTGTACAACTCTGTCCAAAACAGTCCACAAAACCAGTTTATTGGTAGTAAGAACAGCTTTCAGAGTTAGCGAAGCTCAGCCTGGACCACCGCAGTAGCCTACAGTTAGCATCCTGAATGAGAACGATCCAGTGGCTTTGTACAGGTTACTCCAGCTGAGTGCAGTGGTTTTGCGCATGTAAACACACCGTTCATTCTTTTTTTTTTTTAATCCATTAAGCATATCACCTTTAAGGTATTTCATACAAAAAAGCACAAAAAAAGATTCATAATGAACAGTTTTTATTTTAGTTTTCAAAATTAAGAGTCCTCGCTCTGTCAGAAAGAGTTCATTCATCTACTTGACACTTCAAGCGTGAAGAAAACGTGTCAGTTAGGGGTGTGTCTGGTGTGGCTTGTGACAAAGGAGGAGGTCGTCCCAGGTCTTTTTTTTTCTACATGGTATCAGAGAGAGGCAGCTAGGCACAGTTTCCCCAGCCCTACCCCTTGCAGTTTGCAGGTGGGGGTGGGGGGGGCTTTAAGGGAGTATATAGGGTGGTATAGAGTGGGGCAGTAGTGTGTTATGAGGCTGCTGAGATGGTGCAGTCTGTTACCTTTTCCCAATCTCGCTCTGCCTCAGGAACTGGATGTTGTTAGCACTGTCGGCAAGCTCTGGGTATTGCTCCACGGAAAGTACATAGTAGCCATCATAGCCCAAAACTTTCCCAGAGCTCAGAAGCTGCCGTTTTTCACCTTCAGTCCAGAGCCGAATGCCTTCTTCACCATCCCGCACCCTCTGCTGTTCACGTGACCATGCGCTTGCTAGTGCCCTCTGCCTGGCTTGCTCTAGAACACGTGCCTTTTCCTCATCTAATGTCATACCGTAGCGTACATGGAGCGCCAGTGATCCATACTGTAGCTCCACATCTGCGAAACGCCGCGTGCGCCCGTTCACCACTGTGGTGGACTGCGACACAGTCACATTGACGCCGTTCTCCAGGCTCTTGCGGCCACTGGTGAGGCGCAGTGCCCCCAGATCACTCTCAGGCAGGCTGGTTTTGATGAAGTAGTGCGTGTCGCGGCCCTCGATGGTGAAGTGCAGGTCTTCCAGATAGAAGGCATTATTGAGCACCGCTGCCACCTTGATGCAGTCCTCATTAGCGATGTTCAGGGCATTGGTGGCCACCTGGCCCTTGCTGGTAATGGCGAGCATCACACCTTTGCCAATCAAAGACTTGACAGTTGCGAACCATAGCCAGGGTTTGTCCCGTGTGGAGCGGCGCCGGCTAAGCTGGATCTCCGGCATCCTCTCGAAGGACAGGAATGCGTTGGACTGACGGGTCACTTCTTGCTGAACACCTGAGATGGACTGCAGGGGGACGAAATGAGAAAGCATTAATAGAGGAAGTTTTTTTGTTATTATTTCCCCTACAGTGAGTAATTTGAAAGCAAAAGCTTTGGCTAAGGCAAGGCCATTTGAATCTCCACAGGTTTGTGGGGGACTAACGAAACAAAGCAAACAACAACAAAAGGTATCCAAAAAATGCTTATTTACAAAAAAAGGCTGTTTGGAACAATCTGTGGCCTGACTGGTTAATTTCAAAGGGAGATACGATCCTTGTGGAAGCATAATTAACTCCAAAAAGGGACTCATTTGCACATCAAATGCTTATAGTTGGTGACCTTATTTCAAGGAAAGTGAGAATGATTCAGCTATAGATAACTGTCTCTGTTACTGCTGATGAACCGTGAAGCACCCTAAGTTTTGTTTTTGTCTTAAAAGATCCAGCAGGGCTTGCTTGCAAAACAGGTTTTTAATTAAAGTGTGACTCTACTGGATAAGTAAAGCATTAATAAAAAATGAAATACATAAAGTAACATTTTCTGGACAGACAGGAGGAAGCTGTGTATAAAATGTATAAAGCAGATGTGTCGAATTCAGTTGCCAGGATGCCACAGTGTTTTTCTGCTCTTGACAGGCTTGGTAAGGAGCTGATGAGTTGAATCAAGTGTGTTAAATTACAGAAGATGCTGCGTTGTGGCCCTTTCAGGGCTTATGTCATGTTACACATACCGGAAGGTCATCCCACAGCTGGCTCTTCCTCATTTCCAGTGACGGTTGCGTCAAGTCAAATTTAGGAATCGGAAATCCAGGGATGGCATTATGAAGGTGGAAGCCAAATGTTACCAGCCAGATGTTGACATCTAGGACACATATTTAACATAGATTAAGTACTGCAGTGTGCTTTTTAAAAGTCCAGTCAAGAATTTACTCATTCCTCTGACATTTCTAATGCTATTTACTGTGCCTGTCAGATGATAAATGGCAAACAAATTCTGAATGTACAGTATAGAAGTAACAAAAACAACAGATGCACAGTGTCCACAAAATGTCCTTACCTGTGACATACTCTTTGACATCATGGACCTTACTAACAGGGTTATTATGGCGGAACATGTACAGGTTGAAGGGGGCAGGATCCTTTCCCACTCTGGTCCAACTGCTAATGTCTGGTGTGGTCCAGCGGCCGGCTGGGATGTCATAATCTCTTTCTCCAAAGTGCAGCAACCTCGTCAGTGGATCATACAATCCTCCATGGAAGCCAATCACCAGCTGGAAGTCAGGATTGGAATCAAAGTAAATCTCCCCATAAGCAGTGTACTGAACCTGCTTAAGAAGTAGCCCGTTACTGCTAAAGACGGCCAGTGGAGTTCCAGTATTGTCACAGGCAATGTAGAACTCTTCTCCACTGCTGATTTCCATGGCAAACAGGTGGCCTTGCAGATCGTAGTAGAGTGAGGTGATCTCAGAGCTGGAATGGTTGTAGACGTGGGTGATGCGGGTGGGGTAATTCAAATCGGCATAGAAGAACTGCAGGTGCTGGCCCAGGCTGTTTCTGGAGGCTAGACGTCTACCCAAGCCATCGTAGCGGTACTGGATGGTCCATCCACTAGCCTTGCTGTGGACCCGCACCAAGAGACCCTTGGAATTGTACTCGAAGATCTCGGCGCCTCTCTGACGCAGAAATCCATCCTCATCCATTCTGTACTGGACATCTCCCAGACGAGTGATGCGGTCCCTTAGGTCGTAACGTAGCGGTGTGAGCCGGGCACTGTTGCCAGGGTTCAGCAAGTGCAGGTTGCCATTCAAGTCGTAACTGTAGCGCCACATCATCTTTTCATTCAGGTAGACAGTCTGCAACTGGCCATCTACATCATAGTCATAGCCATATTTGGTTGTGTTGGCGAAAGGTCCGATCTTGATCTCTCGCTTGGTGACACGGCCCATATTGTCATATTGGATGGTGATCCAGTACATGAGGGACCGGAAGATCTCATATTGGATCTCCTTGATCCTGCCATGGACATCAAAATGCTTGGTGTAGGTCATGACTGCTGTGGAGATGATCTGATTTATGTCGTAATAGATGACCCCAAACTTGCCGAACTGTTCCACTTTGCCTGAAATATCGTCAAACTGGTAGAGGTCAATGGGTAGTGGAGTTTCATTGATGACGCCTTGCATGCTGGTGACTCGGAAACTGTTGTCATAAGAGTAGTCGAAGCGGGCATTGACCATACCATCCTCACTGAAACGGAATATCTGTCTATCCACTAGGGGGCCGATCTGCCGGTAGCGGATAGAGCAGATGAAACCCTCACTCTGCAAGTTCACTGTCTTCAAGACACCGGCTGTCTCGTCGTAAGTGAAGCTGACACGAGTGCTGTCATAGAGGATTTCCGACAACTTGTTCTGTCTTCGGTACTTGTAGAGGACGCGCCGGCCTGTGCCCAGGTGTGCCACCCGGAGGAGTTGGCCATCCTCACTGTAGTCTACAGTGACTGAGGCATTGCTCTCAGGAGGATGGTAGATGTTTCTGTAGTAACCGATAGAACGGATGGTCTCCATGGTGTGGCGTGCCACGCTAGGCATGGTAATGGCGGACAGCCGGTCTTGCAAGTCATAGTCAAAGATGTACTGCCGCTGGCTGTGGAGCAGGAGCACCATTGACTGGAAATGAAGAGAAAAGGATGGTGGGGCAGGGAGTATGACCCAAACATTTAATTACTTTTAATAAGTTTTTAAAATGCAAATGATGTGCAAAAGCAGGTATTAACATTCCATTTTGGCACCCATTTCCTCATTTGACTTTTCCTCTGCCTCCTATTTTCTAAATGCAGGCCTGTTTAATCTGCTTGGTTGCATAATTCTAAAGTGTTTGTAAATTACCAGCCTTTCGCTTCATGATGCGGCTGTATGTATCTCTTAAGGAAGGGTTCAATGAAAGTCACGATCACTTAGCAAACCAGCAGGTAATAACGCTCTCAACATCCCGTAGCAAGTAAACTCATTGCTCCTGTGGTTGATGAATAAATAGCTAAATAAATAAATAAAGTCACTGTTTTCTGTTTCCTTGCTACTTGTACCATATCTTTAATACATGCCTAATGTATGCAACACTATGGCAGAAAAAAACCTACTCAGCAAGTCGGCTGCGCTCTGCGATTGAGAGTGGTCTCATGTTTGTTCCAGGCCAGTTTGTGGGGATTTTGATGGACAGCAAAACCATGTTGATAAATTAGTGAGTCTAGCTGTATGCCTTAACTACAAACAGGCCCCATGCCCTGCTAGCTCAACACCTGAAGCTGTGCGACACAAAAGCTGCAGAGAAACCTTCTACATCATTCATCTTTTTTGTGTATATCTTTGCCTCGTTCCATTCTGCCTCTTCCTACACTTTCTTGCCTGGTGAAAAAGGCAACAGCTGAAGCCCGCTGAGAGCAGTGCAGAGTCAGAGATGGATAGTCTCTGTGAAGAGCCTTCGCCCTGTCATCCATATTTGGACAGACATTACTCAGACTCCCCAGGTACTGTGGGTGGCATATGTTCCCTACGTTGATATCTCCCTCTCTGGACATGCTACATGCGCATGTGGCAGACAACGTAGAGGCAGGTAAGCCATGCATATTTAATCTATGCGCGTACACATACACACACACACAGCCGCTCAGCTAGACAAAAACTTTTCATCTCAAACGTGTCTCAGAGCTGTCTCAAGGGAATCTTACCTGAGTGCTAGCTCTATACAGAGAAAAAAATTTTCAGGTACTTCAGATACAATCATGTCCTCATTTGCGTTATGGTTGTGTAACTACTGCCTTGGTAATTATTGATTTATTTCTCTATTTATCAATTAGGCTAACTAAAGTTGTGTATCTTGCTTCAGAATCAAAACTGCTAATGTAAAAAATATAATGCTTATGCACCACCTGTTTTTGCTTTAAATGAGCAAGTGTGCGGTTTGAAAATGGTAAAACATGAAGCATCAAGACATTAACTATGACAAAACTAATCAGTGACATTTGTATTGTTAGCCAAAGCATGGGGGAAGAAAAGTTTGAACTTTCACCAACCTAACCCCCCCCGCACTCTTCTCCTGCTCTCTTTCTTTGGCCTTCCTGAGTTCGAACCCTGACTTTTCCCCTGGGCCTCATTTCTGGGTCCATAAGTCTTTCTTTACTGCACTTCACTAAGCTCAAACACAGAAACAGCCTTTTATTTCTCCTCTCCACTCTCCTCAGCAAACACAAGATCCACAAACCCTCAGTAATTCAAAGGAAAATTCACACACCCTCAGTTCTTCTCAGTCTTTGTCCAGTAAAATGTATTCTCTATATATTTGTTCTTTTTCAGTTAAAAAAAAAGTGTTGTTTTTAATGCTGACACAATAATGTTTGTGCAAGTCCACTGAGGCACATTGAAAAGTCACCACCTGTACTGAATCTCCAGCATACTTCTGAGCACAGTGGTCACATAAAGCTTAAGTCAAAGCTTAGATGAGGTCTGCTGACTACAAATGACTGCACCTTCCTGCCCTTTTCTGACCCGTTCTGAATCTTTGTGGGAAGTTTTGCAGCACTAAAATAAAGCAGAAATTCTCCCTACTAGAAAATCTACAAAGTGCTGTCTCCAGATTCCAATTTTAAATATGCATATGTCAAAACTTGTTACTGTGCTGGTTTTTAATTAACAATTAGCTTGGTGATATATATACACTATATATATTTCTTAACAAAAAAATAAAGTAAATAAATGAAACTATTCTTCCCAATCCAACCCTGGATAAAGTAGCCAACAGAGGCTATATTTACTCTGTTCTGTGTACTTAAGCAAAAAGATCCAGGATCAGGATTTTGGAATGACTGCAGTAATCTGATGCTCCACAAACCCCTCACCTTGTCCAGGTAAGTGTAGCTCCAGGTTTTTCCATCTGCAAATGTCCTGGAGACGATGCGTCCCTGGCTGTCGTATTCCACTCTCTCCACTGTAGGCCCCCTCTGGATGCTGGTCACCTGACCACTACTGGAGTAGGTCAGGTTAACTGACATCAGCTTGCTGCTGGGGACCCATAGCATGGGGTGACCAGCTGCATCGTAAACAATCTTTAGCAGGAATTTCCGATGGTCGTCATAGATTTTTTCCGTCCGCAATGTTCGGTCATAATCCACGGACAGGAGGTTCCTGCCGTTGACCTATAATGGAAGATGAAAAGCAAAACAACACAGGTTTTTATATACTTCACTAGCCGTGATTATACACTATATGGCCAAAAATATGTAGACACATAGGCCACTGGAGTTCCTCCAATCCAAACTAATCAAAAAACAGGAAGGGGTCTTCCCCAAACTGTTGCCACAGAGTTGGAAGATTATACTTGTCTAAAATGTCTTTGTATGCTGAAGCATTAACATTACCCTTCAGTGTAACTAAGGGGCTTGGCCCAAACCCTGGAAAACAGCCGCAGACCATTATTCCTCTTCCACCAAACTTCATTGTTGGCACTACGCATTCTGACAGGTAATGTTCTCTTGGCATCTGCCAAACCTGGATTTGTCCATCAGACTGCCAGATAGTGAAGCGTGATTCATCACTCCAGAAAACACATTTTCACTACTCCAGAGTCCAGTTTTGGTGTGCTTTACACCACTCCCCCTTGACGCTTAGCATTGTGCATTTTGATCTTCATGAAGCTCCCAAAGTACAGTTCTTTAGCTGATGTTGTTTCCAGAGGCGGTTTGGAACTCTGTAGTGAACGGTTCAACAGATGATAGGCACTGTGCGCTTCAGCAACTAACGCTTCGTGGTCGAGCTGTTGTTCCTAGGCATTTCAATTTCACAATAATAGCACTTAAAGTTGACGGGGGGTAGATCTCGCATAGCAGGAATTTCTGACAAATGTGGCATTCTATGACAGTGCCCTGTTTAAACTCATTGAGCTCTTCAATATGACCCAGTCTACTGCCAATGTTTGTCTATCAAGATTAACTATGTCCTTAATTTTATCCACCTGTTAGCAATGGGTGTGACTGAAACACTTGAATTTAATAATTAGGAAAGATATTCACATACTTTTTAGCTATGTAGTATAGGTAGACTTATGGATAAACAGATTGATATATAGATAGACAGACAGGCAGGCACATAGATGACAGAGAAATAGACAAATAGAGGTGGCCGAGGGACACAAGTCCCTTAATTAATTAAAGTTCTAGTAATCTAGTAAAAAAATACTCAAGTAAAAGTATGACTTAGATTTTTTACTCAAGTAGAAGTACATGCTCATAAATGTACTTAAAGTAAAAAAGTAAGTATTTCTTTAAAAATTATTTCTAATTACATTTTTTAAACAGGATATCATCTTACTGAGGGTAAGAGGTACACATCCATTAAACTGAGCATACATAATGGTTTATACTAGAACTGCATGCCTCATCTACAAAAATCCACTTGTCTATTTATATGTTTGACTTCCTTTACAAGAACTTGAGATGGGATATATCAGAGTTAAACCTACAAAGTTAAAGATGTACAAACTTAAAACCTAATAATTACCAAAGCCAAAAACACAGGTTACTGCCACAGCAGGTAGACCCAAATGAAGATGGCATGAAAGTTTAATCAAACAGCTGATGTGTGAAGATGAGGAAAACCAACACAGCAGTCTTAAACATCTAAACCTAATCATCACTGTAGACAAAGCATATTGCCATGGCAGGCATGAAACATGTTTATTGTCTGTTTATGTCTTACCTGTAATAGCTCGATGCCCTGAAGTAATGTCCATACTGGCATCTGAATGTAACTGCTACATTATTTAAGGTGAACGTGGATGTAACATTTACAGTTTGAGCATTCTTGTGCTGTGAGTTTATTCATTAGCTGATAGTAACCGGCCCAAAACATTACAGGCCCACCAGGAATTCTCCTGTCTCTCCCAATCACCCACTCCAGGATTAAGTATGGCCATGGATGCGTTTTTTCAGATGCATTGCCCACGTTAAGCACTGACGTGACGCCATCATTTTCTACAGATTACACTGTCTCATCTGTTTATCTTAGTTTTTCTGCATGCTCACTGCTGTGGCCTGTAGGCCATGAAAGTAGCCAATCACAGGTTCCTCACCCCCTTTCATAGCACCCATTTGCACTTCATTAGATGCCTGAATTCAATTGCCTGATTAAAAAATACATAGAGAGATAAAATAAATAGATTGTTAAAACTAAAGTAATGAGCCTGTTTTGAAAATGTAGTGAGTAAAAAGTAGATTTTTCTTTAAAGATACCTAAAAAAATACTTGTACTTTGTTACTAACCACCTCTGCAATTAGACTGATAGATAGACAGATGGATAGAGAGAAAAACAGATAGGTAGATATGTGGATAGATATATAGACCGACAGAGAGACAGACAGAAAAATAGATAGTAGATAGAACAATAGTTAGACAGATGATAGAACAATAGTTAGACAGATGAATAGACAGGTAGATAGACAAACAGATCAACAGAGAGACAGATAAATATATAGGTAGATAGATGGACAGACAGACAGACTGACAAACAGGTAGATAGACAGGCAGACAGACAGCTAGATAGATAGATGTACTTCGAGCCTAGAATGGAAATATAGCAATCACAGTACTTTGGGTAATTTGCTTTTATCTCAAACATGTTTTACTCTTTGTGTAAAGCACTTTCTGAACTTGTGTTGAACAGATGCTATCTAAACAAGATGCATTATCAAATATAATATTATATTTAAAAAAGAAAGGGCATATTTTATATTCATCACTGACATTAGGCTTGTGTCTAGAACATTAGACTATACAGCACATGGGTTGATGTGATCTGTTGTATAATTTAAAGTTACCCATCACCTCTCATATTTCAAAAGCTGGAAGTGCCAAAAAGTTTCAATGCCCCCTCAATTCTTTCTCCTTAATTATCCACTGCTTATTTATGTTCTATAACTTTTGGAATGGAGTGCTGTGTTCTGCTTTTGTGATGATTGGGGTTTTGGAAGGCAGTAAGATCAGATGTTGACCTTGGCTACTATTTATACCTCCACAGGACACTGAGGCGCTTTATTGATGCTGTGAGACTACCTGTGTCTCATGGATTGCGGATGAGGAACAGCCACACAGCACTAAATAATGACACCAACTACTTTGCAGAGAATATTTTCCTTCCAGATGCTCTGATTTAATGAGAGAAAGCTGTGGAGGAGGGAGATGGAAAGGCAAGAATGGTGCGTGCTTTCAAAAGCCTGATAGATGAGCAACCTCCCAGTAAGACACAGATAGTTATATGTCCCGTCTGCATTGGGTGCATCTACACAAGAACAGAGAAATCACAGCTAATGCAAAACGAAACCTGTTCCTTTACTTTCCGTATGCAGGTTTATATCAAACTTCAAAGGCTTCTTGAACTTCCCCAGGTAAATAATTCTCTTTCGGCTTCTCTGAAAAGAGAAAATATGTCTTGCCACATAAAGAAATGCAGTTGTCGTATTAATGCCATTCTTTGTCAAGCAAAGTAAGGCAGAAATTGAAAATGCTGGATAATCCTTCTCAGGTATTCAGATGCAATGATAATACAAACCTGAACAGAAATGTGGTCTATGTGATATGCAAGTACAGTCATATGCAAAAGTTTGGGTGTCCCTGGTCAAATTGCATGTTTTGTTGATTTTCTAAGTGAAAATAAGTTCACACATCCTCTACAGAGAAAACACCTCTGTACTTTTTACTGCACAATTACTGTTTATTTACTGAACATAACATATTAGGGGGAAGAATAAAACAGAAGAAATGTGGCCTGTGCCAATGTGTGTGCAAAAACATAGAAATTAAGCAGAAAATACCATATTTAAGTTTGTTCTCTGTAGAGGATGTTATTTTCACATAGTATATTCAAACTTTTGCATCAATTGTACATGCTAAGTAGGAAGCCACTAGGATTTGCGCACACTCACTTAAAATGCGATGTAAGAGTTTCACATATTTGGCCATTACCTAGTTTGCTCCCCAATGTCCTCATGTCCAATTCTACTTGCTGGCTAGGTCTCCCCAACAAATGATTCTATGCAGCTGGGAAGATGAAGGCCAGCACATGTCTAATCCAAGGCATGTGAAGTAACCACATCTTTTCAAACTGCCTCTATTGCAACATGACTGGACAGCCCAGTATGCTTGATGCTAACTGCATGCGCATGCTAACACTGTGCTGAGTGATGCATAAAAGGATAGGCCAATTATATGGTCATGGATGTTAGCATGTGCATAGGCAGTTAGCATCAAGCATACTGCATGCACATGCTAACATTGTGCTGAGTGATGCCTAAAAGCATAGGCCAATTATATGGTCATGGATGGCTGTGGCATCACCATAAAAAGGTTTGTATCTAGATTGTATTTAACAATTAAAAATTAAGCAAAAATATTTAACATTATATACATATGAAATGAAACCGCAGAATTAAATATACAGTGAAACTGCAACATGAATGAGAAGTTAATGGGCTATATTTGTGTTGCTAGCTATGTGTTTTAGTTACATTGCTACGTTCTAGCTAGGCTAATTTTGCTAAAGGTCAGCTACCTGCTACTTCAGACTAGACTACACCACTAGACTTGAGCTACCGAACACAAAGTGTAAAAAAAAGGCATAACAAATATTTTAATGTCATTTTGCTTACCCTTAGCTTTCGGCCAAACACTATGACCTTTCCTCTGGTTTGTTCCTTCCTGAAGCGCCACTCCACCAGGTTCTGACCATTTTCCCCAGGCAGGCTCATATTTCTCCGGGCCACCGTAGGGTTCGCTGCCCCAGCCAGTATATGAGGCTCCGTCTGGTAGTGTGAGTCCATTCCGTTAGCATAGACGACCCTCAGAGAGTTATCACTGCCCACCTGGTAGCTGTTCCTCAGCTGGTCTGTAGGGGGTGATGATGAAATGTTAACATTCTTTTGTTTCATTTTATAGATTTGTTCATTTTCTGCTATACAACAAAATTGAACAAGTAACAAGTTTTTAAAATGTTTTTTACAAAATGAGCATATATTCTTTGTCAGTTTGCAATAACCATATTAAAGCCCAATTAGGTTTATTTAGAAGAAAACAATATCATGCACTGGAATAAAGCCAAAGGTCACGCATTTTATCCCTTTGTTGTGATGTGAGCTCTCATCAGCACTCAAACTTTTCAGGTGTTTAAACCAACTTTGGGCTTAAAGTGATAGATGTGCTTTTAACAATAGTTTGGAAAAGAAAACGTTGAATAATTTTAAAACCTGCTTTTTATACCAAGGAAGACATTAACTGACTCATAATTCCACTAAAGGTAACGATGTGGGGTGTAGGGAAGCTATTCCTGACAAGGACAAATAAAGGGTGACAACCACAGCAATCGCACTGTTTGTGCTGCTCTATTCTTGTTGCATTTATCATAAATTTGACATGGGATGGGATTTATGACAATTTGACAAGATGAAGCGTTTATGAAAATTTTTTTTAGAAATATAAAAAATATTTTAAAATATACTTAAATGTTCTTAAACTCAGTAACTTCATTCATGCTCTGTGCCTTCCTTTTAAAACACTTCTAAACTAATGGATTTTTCCTTCAGTGCTTGACTCTCCATTCTTATTCTGTCCAACACCATAATTATGGCAAAAGAATAAATTACTAGCTGACAGTTTTAGGCTAAATGAATGAGTAATGACTGCTTAGACATTAATAATGATTTAATATTTGAGTTATGGCTTAATTAGCAAAGCATTGGATTTTCAGAATGCAGAGCAACAGGTTCATGTACAGAAGTAGCAAGGTTTAGCGAGGGCAGCAGGCCTGTGCCAGTTTTTTTAAAAACAGAAATGCTCTATAATATTCATATGATCCACATATTAATTCTGATAATACACTTCAGGAAGCACAGGGGGCGATACGTCTCTAAAATGCACTATGCGAACTTCACACAATATTGAAATCCAAAGCGAGGCTAAGGTGGGAAAATTATGGAAGAAGCAACAAAACGAGTTGCTGGACAACGTATCTTGAGTTGTTGCCCAATTTTACAATATATGATGTACACAAATGGGCGTAAGAGGGATGTAAAGTACCAAGGCTACAGCAACAGGATCAAGGGCTACATCACTGCAGGCAGATTTTAGACTTAAAGATAAGAACAGATAAAGTAACAATTTGTAATAATAATTTCTGATGATTTTAGTAATTAACACTTATTCAGGAGATGTGCATTCTGACTAATTTTGATATTTGAGTATCCATAAGATTTTGTGAAAGGATATATTTTTAACCAAACAAAGACAAAAAAGACTTTGGCAGAAATTAACGTAGGGCTGTAGGTTTACATTTTAGATGACATTTCTGGTGTTAAGAGGCTTAAAAATCAGTAACGCAAAGATTTATTCTTGTGTGTACAAATGCAAGATTACATTTATTATTCAAAAATAGCCTAGGGAAAGCGGTAGGTTTAGCGGTAGCAGCAGTAGTGCTAGTAGATACACGATTGCATTCTGCTGATGAGGACATTTTCTAAAAAAGATATTTTCTTCTCAGTGGACGATGTGCCAACATGTTTTTTTTGTCAGAGAAAAACATTTATATTGTTTCTAGAACTAGCTGATATCAGTCTAGTCAGAGATACAGTTGTGCTGCTTCAGCCTTCTCAGTCATTTTCTTAACACTCGTGTTTTGTAGCAGAATAATATACACTGACCAGCCACTTCATTAAGTACATGTACCTTGTATCTTTGCATCTGTCTTCTTGTGTCTACACTCCTTGTCCATTTTATCAGGTTCGTTTACCATATAGGAACACTTTGTAGTTCTATAATTTCATGCTATAACCCATCTGTTTCTCTGCACACTTTGTTAGACTCCTTTTACCCTTTTTTTCAATGGTCACGACCCCCACAAGACCATCACAGAGCAAAAATTATTTGGGTGGTGGATCATTCTCACTAAAATGAACCTGACATGTCGGTGGCATGTTAGTGATTGTTGTGCTTATATGAATGGATCAGACACAGCAGTGCTGCTGGAGTTTTTCAACACTGTGTCCACTCACTGTCCACTCTATTAGACACACCTATCTAAGTCAGAGACAATAGCTCATTTGTTGCTGCACAGGTTGTGTCAGTCACCCTCCAGTTCCTCATCAGTGCCCACAGGACGCTGTTGGCTGGATATTTTTGGTGGTGGACTATTCTCAGTCCACCAGTCACAATGAGGTGTTCAAAAACTCCACCAGCGCTGCTGTGTCTGATCCACTTTTACCAACACAACACACACTAACATGCCACCACCATATCAGTGTTACTGCAAGGCTGAGAATGATCCCCCTGTCAAATAATGCCTGCTCTGTGGTGGTCCTGAAGAACAGGGTATAAAGGGGCTAACAAAGTACTGTAGAATCAGCAAAAGAAGAATCATAGGGCTAACCATCATCTGCTGCAAGAAGTGTGCTTTATGGAACACACTGGCAAAAAGGTGCACATATAAGAGACCAAACTCGCAGGGAAGGTCACCACTAGCCACACACTTCATCTCACACAAAAGCCCCAACTAAATCCACACCCCGACACATAATAACACAATAAACAACTGTAGGGCGCACGCTACCGTGAGCCTACACATAACTTAAACTAACAACTAACACTGAACAACAGAAACAAGTCCCTTTGATGGATTTTGCATGCAGTTATTTGTCTAGCCACACCTCAGGTGCCAGTGCCAGCCAGTAGCAGAACGCTACGCAGCTCCCCCTTCAAAGGTCAGCTGGTCCCCAGCAACCTGCCAGCTTGAGCCAAGTCCTTGGGCACATGCACAGTCCCGGCAAGAACAAACCCAGCGGGGCACTCACAAGCAATGCCAGTCCTCTTCCGGGGCCATGACCCTGCTGCCACTGCTCCTCTGGCGTATGGTAGAGCTCCCCACAATGCACAATTGGGGGTGGTGGTTGCAACAGTGACGCTCGTCCCGGCCCTTTTGCTCTCACTGTCGCCCACCGTGCCAGCGATGCTGTCCTAAATGCCACTCGTGCGCACTGGGGCTCTGCCTTTGCTGCTGGTGACTGACCTGAGTTGGACAATAGCTGCCTTACAGCTGTGTGATGTGCCCCTCTCAGGGCGCAAGCATGCTGGTTGCAGTAGAGATCTCTGTGAGCTTGTGGTGGCAAACATGAGTCCAGCTCCGGTCCCTCTAGCCGAGCCCCGCTGTCTAGCCTTGTCATACTGACGCGACCACCGTCTCTTTACCACCCACATTTGCCGTGCTGCTCCTCCTCGCAGTTCTCGGCTGGGCTCGGTCTTCTCCACTGTTTTACTGCTGGGTTAGCTATGCCCCTTCAGGCCGCTGGGGGGTAATCCCATGAACACACCGGCAGAAAGGGGCACACTGGCAGAAAGGGGCACACTGGCAGAAAGGGGCACATACAGATACCAAACTCGAGGGAGAGCTCACCTCTAGCCACCGGCTTCACCCTGATTGTAACAGTGCCCCTCTCACACAAAACTCACAACCTCCCAACACTGAATAACACAAACAACAGTATTAAACAACATAAACAAATTCCTTTGTTGGAGGGTGCGCACTACGCTGTGCCTTTGACATGGTTATCTCTCTAGCCACAACTCCAGAGTTTCAGGCACCAGCGCCAGCCAGTAACAGAATACTACAGTTTGCAGCAGACAGATGGACTCCTGTCTTTAACTGTAGAACTGTAGCACATCCCTAATAGTTACAATGAAATAGAAATGTTTTTAAAGTGCTTGCTCTTTCTACCTCAGCCTTGCTTTGGATTTAAAGATGGTGGTTGCACGAAATGATCATGATATAATGTTCATAGGATCCACATTCTGACAGATTGTAATATACTACTTGAACTGTAGGGGGCAATTTAGTGTCTTTCATTGTCATTCAGAAATAACTTTGAATGATGGCAATGCTGTGACAGTGGGGGCGGTGGGGCAAAGTGAAAGGCCAGGGAAGAAGCCATAATGATTTGAGTAAATAATAAATTAATAGTCAAAAGATTAACTGATAATAGAAATTACTGCAGCCCTAGAGGGCAGTAATGGAGTGGAGACAAGTGCCGTGGAGACAAGTGTCGCCCACCGTGCCAGCGATGCTGTCCTAAATGCCACTCGTGCGCACTGGTAACTGACCTGAGTATTAAATGCAACATACACACACTCTCTTACCTTGTACCAGTGTGTAGAAGGAATCTATGGAGGACAGGTTAGTCGTAATGCTGACATCATCGTCCCGTCCAGAGGTTTCAATGTCCACGGTCAGAGCTCTGTCCATTTCTTCAATTAGACTGGTGATGACTCCTGTAGGAAAGGTGACGTTGGTCAGCCTTCCTTCACTGTCATAACTGCAAAATATAAGAAACAAACCTGTATAAGCAATTGTTTCATTCAAAGTATTTATTTAAGTTGAATAAAACCAAGCTCCTAACTATGGGCTCCTCTAAATCAAGTAGTCATGAAAGCCCCAGTTAGCTACCCGTGGCTAACACACAATCCTATCAAAGCAGCTATCCGCCCAGCCATGTCTAAAGAAGTGGGCCTTCTCGACGTGTTTGTGGTGTTAACATGGACATAATAAAACTGTCCAGAATGGCTCTGACCCGGCCTCTCTCACTTTATTCTGCTTATTCTGTCTTTATTCTGCTGATGTTTAAACACATACTGTTGTATGCAAAGGTTGGGGCACCCCTGGCCAAATTATGTATTTTGTTGATTTTTAAAGTGAGAAGAAGAACACTCTGCAGAACAACATTTTTGTAAATGTTAATACACAGTTATTTTGTATATCACTGCTGTCAGAACAAAACCTTGTATCTCCATTTTTGTCATTTTTTTGGTTTTGACATAGTTTAAAAATGCATGTTGCCCTTTCCATTCTGTGTAAGTTTTCTTGCTGAATGCACCAAAGGAAATGGCCCAAAATGACTTGGAAAAAAGTCTAGTTCCACTGACTTACATTAAAAGTCAAGTAGGTTTTTTTCCTTCTACTGTAAAGTTTTGGAAATACGAGGTTTTGTTCTGACAACAGCACTAACTTTATTAACTTGTTGTTAATTGACTCATCAGGACTGGTCAGACAGGTCAACAATTGTCATTGGGAGTTGTCAGCTAATGGTAATAAATTCTCTGAAACTTCAAACCTTGTGCTAGCACTCAACAACTATGGGCTCCTCTAGGCAGCTGGCTGAGGATCTGAACATAAAGCTTCAGTGCCCTCCTCAAATAAAGGTAACCCAGTAATCATGAGCAAAACAGGCTGTAAAAAAACATTCTTTATTGCTTATCCTTTTAATCTTTCATCCAAAATACTTTGTGCAGCCTTTCTTTACAAAGATTACAGCTCTTAGTCTTCTTCTATAATGCTTAATGAGACTGGAGAGCACATGACAAAGAATCTGAGACCATTTCTCCATACAGAACCTCTCCAAATCCTTCAGATTCTAAGGCCCTTTTTGGATTTTCTTCTTCAGTTCATCCCACAGGTTTTTATTGGGATTAGGTAAGGGGACTGGGACGACAGCAAAACTTTGATTCTGTGGTAATATCTACTGGTACTTGTTGGGAGTCAATGATGACCATATATCCATACTAGTTGTCCAGGGCCTTTGAAAGAAACACAACAGCCCCACAACATCAGAGATCCTCCACCATATTTCACAGAGAGGATGAGGTACTTTTCTGCATGGCTATTTTTGTGTCTACCAAGCCCATCTCTGGTGTTTGCTGCCAGAAAGCAGTATTTTGGTCTTATCTGACCATAGAACATGGCCCCACTGAAAGTTCTAGTAAAATCTGGCAAACTGTACATGCTTGAGTTTGTTGGTCCGTGCCAGAAGGCAGCAGAGGGTTTCTTCTTCAACCCTGCCAAATAACTTGTGGTTGTGTAGGTGGCGTTTGATTGTAGTTTGGGAGATATTCTGATGCCAAGACCTAAATAATGTCTGAAATTCCTTATCTGTGATCCCTGTGATCCTCTGAACACTTTAACCATCCTCCTCACACTGTGTAGGGTATATATAGATACATGTCCTTGTTTCCGATTCTTAACATCTCCGGATGCTTTAAACTTCTTAAAAATTGCCCTGATATTGGAATTGGCCATTTTCAACTGTTTAGCTATTTTCTTGTAGCCATTTACTGATTTGTGCAGCTCAGTAACATTTTCTTGTATATCACTGCATTCTTCTCTGGTCTTTCTCATAGTCATGGATAACTAAGGTAATCTGGCCTGTGTGTCAACTCATATTTATTCCCCAGTGAACCAGAAAGTCATGGCTAACTATGTAAAGTGTTTCTAAAGCTCAACTGAACTTAAAAACATAAAATTTGTGTAGGGATATGTTTCAGTTAGATTTCACTCATAAGAATTTCTAGGGGTAATTTCATGATAAGATTTAGGCTTTAATCAGTGTACTTCAAATAAAGGTTAGATTTTTGTTAATATTTTATATGCAAGATCAAAAGGATGAACCATAAAAAATGTTCTTTACATATATAAAGAAATTAAGCTGCAAAAACAGCCTGTTTAAATTGTTTTTGTGATGTCATGAAAACCAACACATATGTCCGCTTATTAAGCCTACAGCAGTTTAGCACCGCTCATTCACACTGAAGTTGTTTCAGCCTGGACTGCTTTTTGAACTGAGGCACAATATAGGGCAGCCAATCAAAAAGTGCCCATTTACATATATCAGTTCTAAGGATACACTATCAAAAACAGTTGGAAAATGGGCAAGTAAAATCGAACCATGAAATAAACATTATAATCAGACCTAAGGGAAACATGTAGGATATTAATTGTTTGATTGCCTTTATGGTGAATATTATAACTGGACTGACCACATGTCTTTAAGTATGGTCACTATGTCAGTTAATGGCAACAATATCTATTGAGTATAACAGGAGATTGCAGTCTTTCAGTAATTGTAGGTTAATGGGTTCAAACAGGATTTTTCTTTTATCTTCAAATTCACTGACAAACAGGCCAAACAGGGGAGCTGTTAGCATTGCAACTCAGATTTAAGTATGAAGTTCTTGCCTGATGTAGTATTCTAGCTGCTCAACAGTCCTGGGTCTTCTTTGTCTGATTTTTCGTTTCGTGATGCAGCAAATGCTTTCTATTGGTGAAAGGTCTGGACTGCAGGCAGGCCAGTTCAGCACCCAGACTCTTCTTCTGCAAAGCCATGCTTTTGTGATGGATGCAGTATGTGGTTTAGCATTGTCTTACTGAAATATGCATGAAATAGGCCGTCCCTTAAAGAGACGTTGTCTGGATGGGAGTATATGTTGTTCTAAAACCTCTACATACTGTTCAGCATTGATAGTGCCTTTCCAGCTACTCACGCCATAAGCACTAATGCAACCCCACACCATCAGAGATGCAGGCTTTTGAACTGTGCGCTGATAACAAGCTGGATGGTCATTCTCCTCATGAGTCCACAGGACATGGCATCCATGGTTTCCAAAAAGAATTCTGATTTATCTGACCACAGAACAGATTTCAATTTTGCCTCAGTCCATTTTTAATGACCTTTGGCCCAGAGAAGATGGTAGCGTTTCTGGATAGTGTTGACATATGGCTTCTTCTTTGCATGATACAGATTTAACTTGCATTTGTGGATTGCACAGGGTACTGTGTTCACAGACAATGAGCCCATGCAGTAATTTACAGTACAGAATCATGCCTGTTTTCAATGCAGTGCCGCCTGAGGGCCCGAAGATCATGGCATCCAATACTGACTGTTGGCCTTGTCACTTGCGTACAGGGATTTCTCCAGATTCTCTGAATATTTTGATGATATTATGTACTGTAGATGGTGGAATATGCAAAGTCTTCGCAGTTTTACGTTGAGGAACATTTTTCTGAAATTGGTCCACAATTTTTAGATGCAGTTTTTCGCAGATTGGTGAACCTCTGCCCATAATTTTAGAAAGACTCCGCCTCTGTAAAAAGCTCTTTTTATACCCAGTCATGTGAGTTAGTTGCAAATTCCTCCTCCAGCTGATTTTTAATAGTACCATTTACTTTTCCAGCTTTTTGTTGCCCCTATCCCAACTTTTTTAAGATGCGTTGCTGCCATCAAGTTCTAAATGAGTTAGTGTTTTTCATGAAATGGTAAAATGTCTCACTTTCAACATCTGATATGTGTTCTCTATTCAATTGTTAATAAAATATGGGTATATGAATTTGTAAATCATTGCCTTCTGTTTTTATTTACGTTTATTTTCATTTTACACAGTGTCCCAATTTTTTTGGAATTGGGGTTGTAAATAAAAAAGCATTTTCGAGCAGAAACTATCTCTCCTCACTCTTCTTCTGAAAGACACCACAATCTTTTACTGTGTTTTTGTGTCTTACATAGTGCAGCCTAAACTAACTACAGAATCGGTAATAACTCCAGACTTCTAAGTGTTAAGTGACAAATTGTGGAAAAAAAATAAATAAGAATGGAATATTCTAAGGAATAACAATAAAAAAGAGTGTTTTTGAGTGACCTTAATGAAGCTACTCAAAGGACCATTAAAACTAGAAAACCAGACAAGCAGTGAGCTAGCCAGAAGGCAGTGTCTGTCACCAGCATGCCTAACTAAGCCATTTCCACACAGAACAGGCAAACTGAGTGAGTCAAGTTAGAGCCCTGGGTCTACTGTCTGCAGCAGGATGGCCACACACACTTGCACACATGTTCACATCAGAGAGGACAAACACTTCAAATGTTCATGGCATCTTGACACATTTGTCACTTGCAGTGTCTTTGTTGTTTCATGATGGTGAGTAGCATGTGCTGAGATTTAATGGCAATTTTGCAGACCTCCAGGGCTTTTCTGTTTTAGCTGAAGGATCACCATGTGTGCTGAACGTGTGCATGTTGAAATGTGTACTGAGCTATTTTAAATGCATAGCCGTTCATATATATTCTCCATCCAAGACCACAAGCTGTAACTAAAGCAGAGACAAAGCCCTCAGGCACAAGGCCAAGACAATCTCTACTTTTTGTAAATTGCTTAATGTAAATACTATCTATGTAAATACTATTATGAATGAAATGTAAATGCCAGTATGGTGAAAAATATACAATTTCCCCACTTACCACAAATGTAGTCAGTCTTTCAAGACATGTTTGGTGTCTAAAGTTCTCTAAGCTCTCTAAGTTTTGCCCTGAAGCTAGGAGGCTAATGTTGCTAACAAGTAATGGAAACCTACATCACACTAACAGGCATGTTACAAACTGCATGCCTAATTTATCACAAGCTTGCCTCAAACTGTGTCAGATTCTTAAGTGATCTTAAATGCCATACAGTGTCGGAAACTACATAAGCAAGTTTATTTAAATGACTTAACAACTCAACACGCTGTGACAATTTAGGTATGCGTTTTTCACAATGCTACTTAGCTTACGTAAGCTTCCATTACACGTTAGCTACATTAGCCTTGTAACTTCAGGGAAAAACTGAATCAACATTTTGGCCACCACATCCACTTCAACTTCAGAAGGGCTTGTTAATTAGCTGACAATAAGTTGGATAATGAGTGTTAGAGAACAAAAAATAACAAAATATGCAGGTAGTCCAGGACTAGAGTTGGGAACCACTATAGTAGAGGATGGAAGCAAATGTAAAGGTTGAAACTGAACTGAACTGAAATGTTTTGCAAATTGAGGAATAATTCAGCACTCACTCATAGAAGGTGGTCCAGCCAATCTGGATGCTCTTGGTGGCGAGCAGGCCGCTGTTTCCGTGATATGTGAAGAGCACCAGTTCCTGCCCCTGTGCCGTCAGCGTCTTCAGCCCACCATTCGTACCAATGGTTAGCCAGATTACCTGGTTGTCAGGGGCGACAATGCGAACGGGCATGCGGTTAGGGTCACGGCGGATGCGCAGTGTGTTCCCATTGCTATCAGTTACAGCAGTGACGTCATTCTCATTACTGTAGCTGAAGTTGTATTTGTAGTCTCCAGTCACCAGGCTCATGGTGAACTGGTGTGTCCCATTAGAGTCAAACACGTAGAGCTCCTGCGAGGCCGGAGATGCAACTTCATACAGGGTGGAGGAGCCCTGCGGGGGGCGGTTTCGGGATATTGCACGGATCCGAATGTTTCCCAAATCTGCCACATACAGTGTCCCATCTGGAGAGACTGCGAGAGAGGAGGGGTCATTCAGACGGGCATCTTTAGCATAGCCGTCACCCGTCAGGTAGCAGTCGCAATTAGCATCGTTCTTACAGTCGCAGTCAGACGGTGCCCCTGCCAGGTGGGAGATTTCCCCATCGGTGCTGACCTGAGGGTAAGGATAGGCATTGTTACAATCTCAATATCAATCATTGTTACAATATGAATACTACTACTTAGTCAAGTAAAATTTCTTGATATTTAGGAATTTACTGATTATTCAAGTTTACTATCCAAGAGAGATATTCATCTGAGGCAACTGTAATGCATTGATCCATCATTTTTGGCATGGTGGAATCACACGCACACTATCTAAGCCGCTTATCCTTCTGGGTTGTGTTGGGGGCGGTGCTGGAATCTATCCCAGCAGTCCTTGGGCAGAAAACACCCTTGACAAGTCACCAGTCCATCACAGGGCAGACACACAGACATACACATTCACACATAGGGGCAATTTAGCATGTCCAATAAGCCTAACTGCATGTCTTTGAGGAGACACGGGGAGAACATGCAAACTCCGCACAGAGATGACCCTGGTCGCCCAGCGGGAAATTGAACCCAGGCCCTTCTTGTTGTAAGGCGACAGCATACCCCACTGCACCACCCCCTGTTGGAGTCAGTTATAATCGCTTCTAATAATATTTAATAAAGTATATACTCGCACTATATTCAGTCACAAAACAAACTAAAAAAACCTTGACATATAAAATTCTCTATGTGTAAACAGGTGCTGAAGGAGTGGCAGCTGCAACCAAATTTATTATTGTAGTGGGTGGTATCCCTACCTGTCGGATGCGGTTGATCTTCTTCTCGTCTGTCTCGGCAATGTATAGCACTCCACTGAAGGACAGGGAGATAGCTGTGGCTCCCTCTAGTGTGGTTTGTATGGCACGCTTGCCCAGGCTATACTCAATGCCTGGGACCTGGCAGTGCATGGGTCGTCCTGCTACAATCCGCACCTGTCGGTTCTCTGTGATCTGCAGAACCACGTTATTGTCCAGCACATAGATGGAGTTGTCCATGGGGTTGATGGCCAGGTCTGTTGGCCATTCCAGACGTACCTATGGAAACAGAGGTCAAGAAGATCAGAAGGGGCATAATTTAAGGGGATAATGAGAATATGTGTTGAAAAGAAGGGTTTTCAATATAACGCTAAAATATAAATAATGAACGCATAATTTGTATTTATTGGGCCTTGAGAAACCAACATAGCTTTTACATTCTAACACATGCAGCAACAGTTTTAGAGGGCAGAGGTGAGTGATGTTTGTTTATTTGAGTTGGAACTGTTTCTGTCTTCAGTTGGAAATTCTCCTCTGTTTGGTAACACTTGCAGTTGAAGCTAACATTATTGAGACTAACAGAGACACAATTTACAAGTTATAAGACCACCAACTAGAATAGAATGTTGTGTCGATGGCTATTTTAAAAGTTACTTTGTCAACAGTTTGCTAAGGTAGCGTTTGTTGGCAAGGTAGTCAATGTTAATGTTATTAGCATGTACACAAGAAGTGTTTGAGACACTGTCTCATTTCCATCTCTCCCTAGTAATAAATTAAAAATCAACAGTTATGCCTGTGTGGGTCAGCAATACAAAACAAAGCAAAAAAACAAAACAAACTGTACACACACACACACACACACATAGACTTGTTTACTTGTGAGTACATATCGTTCATTCCGCCCTTTTCCATGCACATTCTCTCCCCCCTCCTCCTCTCTATCTCTCCTCTGTCTTTTCTCTTGTTCTCTGATGCCAGAGCACTGTTCTGACACTGATGAAGAAGAATCCTTTACTTTGTAGCTTTAATACATTGCAAGTCTCCGCTTTATTTCATTTGCCCGTCACTGGGTCATTTATTTTGCAACAGGATCCAATTCCTCAAAGCCAGAGGGGAGTGCATGCCTGACTGAGACAAACAAACAACAACAAAAACAAACTTCAGACAGTGGGCATGGACATGGGCCCAATTTTAAACAAAATTTTCAAAGAATATGTATAAATGTGTTTCCAGTCCTGAATGTGTTGTATTCTTAGTCTAGACACAAGTACACAAACAATACTATCCTTTTCTTCACTGTTCATGTGTTTTTTGCCCTATTAAATATTTGATAATATATTGTTGCTATCACAACAAAACTTTAAAAATGTTAACTTTACAGGAGAAGATAAAACCTTACAGTGAAAGTGATAAGATTTAAACTTATCTTTCTTGTCATTTTATTACGAAAAGTTCATACAATAGCAGATGGCATTACATAATGCTTTCTTTTACATTACATAATGCTTTCTTATCTGCTTGAAATGCTCATCTAAATCCAGCTGTTAAGAAAGAAAGTTCTCCACAACTCATGCAACTGCACTACATGATCCTCTGAGCTAAACAGGGCCTTTAGCAACTGAAACCATTTTGCTGCTTACTTCACTGTATACATGGAGCGGTGTTCAAGATCAAGCAAAGGTTACAAACAATCAGGCTAAATATGTAGTAGCTAGATTATAATGCAGATATAAGAGTCCATATGAGTCATGACTAAACTTAAAAAATGTATTCCTTTTCACAATGCATAGTACATTCACAGACTGCTACACATCATCTCTGTCGGAACAAAACCTTTTTTTTTTTTTAATTAAAATGTTTTTTTTTAAAATGGTGACTTTATTTTGAATTAATGTTCATGTAAAAAGATTTTTACTAAGCAATTTGGGAGCATTTCTTTTGATCCATTCAAATTCTTTAAAAAAGAAAAATGCCATATTAACCTTCTGTAGAGGATGTATTAGCGAACAAGGACAAGAATGAGTTTTGCAGCAGTGTAAGTGCTAATAATTTTTCTTCATCATAAAAAATTATTTATTTTTTTTATTTATCAGTATTAATTCTATTCCATGCAATTAAAGTACCTGTAATACGTTAAGAATGGTGTGCGTTCTCTGTTTTGTTAATCTGCATGGTTAAATCATGGCTACAGCAAAGATGTCAGGAGAGTCAAGGAAAAATGTTCTTTCACTTACAATTAAGGTCAGAGGTTGTATAACCCCTCTCTCTCTCTCTCCCTCTCTCTCCCCCTCTCTCTCTCGTTTGCTCTGGTCCTGCCCTACTTTGAACTCCTGCCCTGCTAGTGCCTGAGGGTTAAGCATCTTTGAGGAGCATTAATGTCTAATGCAGTCAGAATAAAAGCTTTCTGCACTTGTCCCAGCCCAGCTCTGACTCCACCCGCTGCATTATGCATGAGCTCAAGGCCCGATCCACTTTGGCTGGGCTGCCATCGTGGCGCTAAAAGTGCTTGACCGCTAACATGGGGTCAGGCTGTGCGGGGGGGAGAACAAGCACTTTAGATAGCAACGGCTGCAGAGAGCGAATGTTCTGGAACTGCAGAAAGGCTTTTTTTGGAGAATATTTGACATATTTATTTGGAATTTAATGTCAATTATAGGATATTTTTTGGTTTAGATTGTCAATTGTGGATGCTTTGGGTGTACATTGGTCATTTACACATAAAATGTAAATAGACACACAAATTCACATTACACACTGTGAGATACAGATGATATGTATCTCAGCTCCTCTTCATAGCCTCATAACGGATGTGAGTCACATATGGTATCACACTAAAATGGAATCAAGAAACCCCAGAGGGCAAAAAACAGTCACTAAGATGCTAAGAGTTAGTCTGGTTAGTTATAATAGTCCTAACCAATAATTAATAGCAGAGGTAACATTAGCAATGCAGGCTCATAAAGAAACTAAGTTAAAAAATTATGCCTGAAAACATCTGATTAATAGTTAACAGACCACTACAAATATTAAAAACGGAATGTTAAATAAAAATAATAGAATATTTACTATAACCATTATGCACAACAATAACTTGTCATCAAATTTAAAGCATAATAAAACATTAATAAAATAATAAAATAATAATCTCTTCTCCTCATAAACACTAATGTAGTATAGAATGTTTACACTATAGTATAAAAAGTTTAGAATCTGCACTTTCTACCAAACTCCTCCTCCTGTTTCAATAAGCTACAAGTAAAAAATAATTCACAAAAAATTGCAGCAAGCTTTTCTTATTGCCAGTGGTGAATATAGCTTCTAAGGTTTAGAGAGTTCCTCACTACAAAACATTCTAGAGCAGCGCCCTCAGGGCCTTCTAGAGAATGATTCTGGGAACTAAAAAATACATGTCTTAACTTTTAGTTCATATTATTGATAGAATTATTATGTTTGATGCATTTAAACTCTGCAAGAATTGTGGTAAAACACTTATTTTCGCTAAGTTATAACTGGAAAAAAGGGTTAAAATCTTAAAATCTTAAAACCGTCATAATATTTTTTCCCATGGTACACAGGTAAATACAGCCATAGGAACTCTCCCACTGGTTAGACCTTCAAAAGCTGGACTGATGGCCTTACATGTTACTTTCAGCATAATTAGGACCCAAAAGTGAAATCAACCAATTATTTTTTGATTTGTGAGGGGTGGACCCAATTTTGTGAGAAATGCCACTCTAGGCCTTCTGAAAGTCTCACCAATCATTAACATCTGCTTTGTGACCCATTTTCCACCCGCCGAACGAGACATTCACTGCACTGCACAACCTCTTCTCAATCTATGAATCTCATCACACACCCCGCAGGTATTTATAGCCCATCATCCTCACCCAACGCCGTCTGCAGGAGCCTGAATTTACAACAAACTTAAACACGCATATATATATCGGCGGGTGGAAAATGGGTCACAAAGCAGATGTTAATGATTGGCAAAAAGAAGTGATTGCATTTGGGCGTACCAAAAGCCATAGTGTGAGGGAAGCAGCTGAATTTGCAGCTGCATCAAAGCATACGGTCATATGGGTACCATATACCAGCAGTGGCAAAAATCCCAGTCTCATCAGAATTTTGGCTGAAAGATGAAACTGATGGACAGGGATGCTGGCGAGTTTCACGGCTTATGAATAAAAATCACTTCGCTTCCAGGCAAGAATTGCTTCTATAAGTCAATGGAGGTCCTTCACAACCAATTTCTGAAAGAACACTCCGCAGGAAACTGCATACCATGAACATATGGAGCAGAGTGGCCCGCAAGAGCCCTTTGCTCACTTCTGCTCACAAAGTTGCCCAGTTACAGTGGGTTAAGAGACCCAAAAAATTGGACTATTCATGACTGGAAATGTGTTATCTGGTCAGACGAATCTTGTTTCTGCCTGCACGTGAATGATTCTAGGCATCATGTTCATCACAGACCTCATGAAGCCTTCAATGAGGACTGCGTGCAAGGTGTGGTTCAAGCTGGAGGAGGCTCTTTGATGTTCTGTGGGTCTTTTAATTAAGTGGAAATGGGTCCTTTGGTTGAGATGAGAGTAAATTTGTACCACAGTGCCTACACTACACTGCTGGACAACCAGGTTTTGCCTTTTATTCATCTTACCGAGGAACATAACCTTCCTATCCCTGTATTCCAAGAAGACAATTCTCACGTTCACAGGGCTGCAAACGTGAGTGACTCACATGATGAACATTCAGCATTCAAACATACACATCTGGACTGGCCCGCAAAATCCCCAGATATGAATCCTCTGGAACTACCTGGAACAACGAGTAAGACGCCAGGGAAGGCATCCATGAAATCTGGCTGAACTGCGCAATTCTTAAATGCAAGAGTGGCTGAACATTTATGTCACCTACATCCAATGACACTTGTCCGGTCCATGTCAAATTGAGTCGCAGCTGTCATGCGAGCTCGTGGAGGTATTACATGCTATTAGGTAAGTTTTTTTGAATATGTTAAACACAGCAAATAAATAGAAATTGTGCACTAAAATGAGTAGAAAAATGCTATATTTATGAGTTTTCTCTTTAGAAGAAGTTTTAACTTTTTTCACTTAGACAATGAACAAATTATGTAATATGACTGGGAAAGTTCAATCTTTTGCATACAACTGAGAGAGAGAAAGCTGCATTTTCATTATTGAGGTCACTCTGTGAATGTGTCCCTGTGGAGAACGTTTGTAAGTCCCTCTGCGGCTGACCCACCTGCAAGAGCACCGGGCTGGGGCATATGGGACATGATTAAGTACAGCAGGGCATTGTGGGAATGAAAAAAAAACTTCAGTAGTGAAGATGCTGTGTGCTTGATGCTGTGAACCTGCAGATTGTGTTGTGCGTATGAGAGTGGTGTGTATATCTTGAGCTGTTTATGTCCTTAATGACACACTGCTGGGTTTGCTGAAAAAGCAAAAAAGCAACATATACTGCCTTTAAGTTCTCCTTTAAAATCAAGATTCCTCCTTTATTTGAAAAAAAAAACATCATCTAATAAGCTGAAAAATCATTGATTTTTACTGTTTGTCACAATCTACTTTTTTGCACAAATAAACACACAAATAGAAATATACTTCACATTTTAATTACTCCTCTGATGAAACACATCAATAATCAGCATTTCCATAGCAATGTGACTCGCGCTCTGAATGTATGTGAATACTCATTTAGGAACGCATATGCATCCAACGTACATCATCACATATGCATCCAACAATAAAGGCAGCATTAAGCTTTTTTTATATTGTTGCTGTCAGCATCTCCAGAAAAGTAACTTTATGGGATAAGCAAGTAATTTTGGACCAATTTTACTGGTCATTTTGTGTGGGTCATTTCTTAGTCATTCTGGACCGTTTATTTTATTGTTCATTTTGAAATTTTGACAGTGTAAAACGCAGTGTAAAGTGCACCACTCCAGTAATATTTGGTCAAATTATGTTAAAAATGGAGACAGATGATTTTGTTCTGACAGTGACAGAACAAAGAAATCTCCAATTTCACATGCTGATCTATTTTACTATGGCCAACATGGACATGCATGTTCACTATCTACTCTGAGTGCAGATTTTAATGACATAAAGGAGACATACTGAATGGTTTACCTACCATATGTTCAGTAAAATAAGGTTATGAAGAGTGACAAAAGCCTTAAAACACATAACAACAACAATACTGTTGGCAATTGGCTTTAACCCCTTAAACTGCAGGCAAGGCAACTCCTAGTTGAATATTTTTTTTTCAGTGTAATACCTGTGGTGAAATGACTTCTTTTTGTGATCATTTGCTCATTTTATTTTCTGTTAATCAAACAGCTCTTAATCACTATATTACAGAACTGAAGCACAAATTACCAGAAATAACCCCCTTCCCCACAGGTCCACCCAACTCCTCTTTCTGTATATTATAATGCTTTTAAAGATTTTAATGAAAAGAATGAAGTAAAAAAAAAAATAAATAAAAAAATGTTAGCCTATACAATGTGCTCCATATCATTTGCTCCAATCTTTCCATCACATCAAAATTGTCTCTGAGTCTCAAGGGTAGGTTCTTTAGCTTCATTGATTCCAGCTGTGGCCAATTCTAACTTAGCTATGTGTCATGCATTTGAAATAGCCAATGTCGTGCACTAAGATAACTCCTCCCTTGTATCTCCACCTTGCTGATGTGCAGAATTCCATCTATTTATGCACAGTTTGTGTTAGCCACCATCTAACCCTACATTAGTGGTCAGTTTCTGACCACACAGCCTCTCTTTGCTGAATATTTTTGAGGAGTGGACCTCTCTCAACCTAGCAGTGACATTGACATGTGTATAAACTCCAGCAACACTGCTGTGTCTGATTCTCCTACCAGCACCACACACACTACCATTTTAGTGTTGCTGCTGAGGTGAGAGGTGAGAAATAATAATAATGCTGAAATCATAATTTTTGTCACTGCCATAGCAGAATTTATATGACATTAAGGATTTAAGAAAAAGAGGGAAAAGAGGGAAAGGCTTTTAGCAAAAAACAAATAGGATGGGAATGAGTATTACACAAATGTAAATGTTTAATTTCCAATACTCAAGTAACTATAACACTACTTAAAGGTTTGCTATGTTGGTCTCAGTTTGGTTTTATCAGAGAACAAAAAAAAACAAGCAAACTCTGAAAGTTCTGAAATGGACAAGGATATATGAAGTTCATCTGAAAAAATATTAGATGACTGTATTGGAAACCAGGCTTTGTCTTTTGTTCTGCAATAAAAACATCATCAATCATTTTGTCTCAAAGCTCAGAAGACAGAACAGCTGCAGCTTTAGTGTCCACCTGCGTCCTTTTCTAAAACTAGAAACATGCTTGTGCTTGAGTTTGATGACTCACTCATTTCATGTGTGTGGTTTTAGGGGAGAAAGGACAAATTCGTCCTCCAAAGTGGGTGCTGGAGGACCATAGACTGTTTTTCTTAAAGTGGGGGCAGCCAAAAGGGGGCGCTAAGGGTCTGTGTTTTGGTATCAGCAGTTTCAGGGCGGAGGCAGTTACAGAGCTTTTCTCAACCTCTCTAACAGAACTACACAATGTATCCTTTATTAATTGTTATAGCATTCATTGCCAATACTGACATCAAAGAAGGCTGCAATACGCAATGAGCACTCCAACCAATCATTTTTTAAGCTGTTTGCTCTGAGCATTCTGGACAATCACAGACCATTCCACTTTTGTCACAATAATACATGCTAATATTTAACCATGTCATATCGAGTCGCAGATGTGCTTTTTAATATATTGTTTGAAAATAGAGAAATACAGTAATATAACCACAGTATGCTTTAGATATATGATATATATGATACCTGAATACAAAGGTTTGAATACCCCCAGTCAAATTATGTTGATGTTGTAAGTGAAACATTTTCTACAGACAACTTAAATGTGGCTCTTTTGTGCAAATTTTAGTGCACAATGACTTTAACGTATTGAAAAACATTAAATATAAAATACTGAATGTGCCATAACTTTTGCACAGACCACATTTCATATGTTAAACTCAACAAATAAACAGTAATTATGAATTACATTGTGCAGAAGTATGTTCTCTGTAAAACATGTAACTTTCACTTAGAAAATCAATTAAATATGTAATTTGACCAAAGGTGCCTAATTCTTTGCACATTTTGTTATATAATAACACTGTTCATGATTTTATATACTTATGCACTGCAGATTGAAATAAACTGTTAGCTATTCAATATTTTAAAGTATTTTTACATCAGCAAAAGGTGCCTTTGAAAATGACTAGATGACAGGGTTCTATCAATCAAAATTCTACTGCTGTTTTGCTCACCAATGATTTGTAACTGTTTTTCGATTGAAACAGGAACTGAGGCACATACCTGTCCGATGTGCATGCTGGTATCGCATGTCAAAGGACGTGCAGAGGTCAAGTCATTTGACCCCAGGAGTGTTGAGATGATGCCGTTGCGGTCAACTTTACGAATCATGGTGCCATCTACAAAATAAATAAATCCGTTCTTATCCACGGCAATACCTGCAGAAAGAAAGAGAGAGCACAGATGTAACAACAGCCGCAAAGATACATGCACATGCTTTTTATACAATGCGTGGACGTGGGATCATACGTATGATCCCACACATATGTATATATATATATATATATATATATATATATATATATATATATATATATATATGTAATAACATGTACCATATATCGTCACTGTCCAAAGAAAAACATGTATCTCCAAAGCAGTAACTTTACAGGAGAGGGCAAAAACATTCTTTATTTTCAGTGCAAGTCAATGGAAAGAAATTTTATTCTAAGCAGTTTTGGAGCATTTCTATTGGTCCATTCATCATGAAATTTTCACACAATGTGAAGGACAGCTGCCTTTGTTCAAATGATTTAGAAAAGTAAAAATCGCAAAAAATGGAGAGACTTTGTGTATGATGTATGTACATTCATTAATGTTTATGCATATTTGTAAGTACCTATATACTACTACTACTACTACTACTACTAATAATAATAATAATAATGTCTCATATTGCATATATGTAAGTAAGAGGTTACATGTCATTTTGCATGTCAGTTAACCTTTACCCTCTGTGAATATTTCATGATGTATGGACCAACAGAAATGCTTCAAAACAACTTGGAATGCAATGTCTTTACAGTAACTTGCATTTAAAAATTACATATATGTATTTTATATTTGTAAGCATCCATATGTTAAAATAATTAAAATCTGAATCTAACCCCAATCTTACCCTCAAGAACCAAGAAGAAAGAGAAAAGAAAGAGTTTTAAAAAGATGAAACACATAACGTTTGTAAAAAACACATCAAAAGTCTTGTTTTATCTGATTTAAATGCTTAATCAGGACATTTTTTGGCTTGAAAATCTACAAAAACAAACACAAACACACACACACACCAGGGAGAATACATGAGCTACACGTGTCGTGCTTGCCCCTGCATTTTTCAGGTCACTGTGGATGTGCGTGTGGTGAATTATTTACATTTTGCTTTGCCAGTGTTGAATAATTTGTGAGTGAGACAGACTAAACCGTGTGTTGCCATGGGGACAGTAATAGCTAAAATAAACCAACATAATTCTGTAGTTGTCAGTACAGACAACTTTCACTCTGTATATGTGTGCATGTGCACTGAGAGGCATATTAATGGCCTCTTCCCATATACAAATTCCCACAGCAGCATGACCAGCAAGCTAATCAAAGTGGCAGACAGACAAGTGTGTGTGCGGCTGGTTAGCTATACTGTGACTAATGTGCTTTGTTAAAGTGTTATGAAAAAACACACAAAAACTCTGCCAGACTGGGCGAATCAACTTAGGCAGACAATACACACACACACACATAGACATATGCACGCCGTGGTGGGTCTGTAGAGGGTATGAATGAGTGATGAGCGAAGTGTGTGTTTTATTTGCTCAGCAGATTCACTCTAAGTGATTCCTCCGCTGTAGCATAATAGTGGCTCAGTGGACTTTATGAATTGTCCTTTAGAGCGGTGGTGCCAAACAAAAGGACTGAAGGACAACTGCGCGTTCTGGAAGATTCTTGAAATAATGGCCCAAATCGTCCATAAAAGTATAGAGGAGCCATTATATTCACAATGCGAGACTCTAACGGCTAGAGAGCAGTTATACAGCAGCCAGTTATACGTGTTAGCTATCAAATAAAGAGCCACAGTGTGCCGTTCCAGGAAGTAATGGCCTTGAATTAGCATCTGAGTTGTCTACAGGAATGTAAAGGGCCACCACAGAGACTCCTGCCAGAGAGAACAATTGAATATAAAGAGAGTGTCATTTTTTACATATCTTAAATACATTTTGATCTGAAGACACCACAGAGAAGCTTTAGGTACTGTATGTGCATATATAGGACCAGTCAAGAGTTTAGACACATTTCTTTGAATAGAGTTTCATGTACTCTTGAATACATATTCATCTTATATTCTACTAATGGCACCAAACTAGAATTTGAGTAATCTATAGTAATGTTAAGAGACCATAGAGAGAACAATGGAATAAAAGAGACAAAAGAGATAAAACAGACAAAATGTAGTAGTCCTGTAAGAAAAAAATACAGGCAGTAGATACCGTATGTGTGCATATACAGTGCCAATCAAGAGTTCAGACTTAATTTCTAATACATGTTGATCTAATGTATCTAATGGCCCCAAATTAGCATTTGGGTTGTCTACAGGAATATTAAAAGACAACACAAAAACTCCTGCTGTGGAGAACAATGGAATAGAGCAGAGTTCTACAGTTTAGAAGTGTAAAACAAAGAGGGCTCTAAGTAGTTTACACAGGGGATTTGCCCAAATTTGCATTTGAGTTGTCTATAGCAATGTTAAAAGACACCATGGAGACCCCTGCCATAAGGAAAAATACAGTACACATACAGAACCAGTCAAGAGTTTAGGCATATTTTATTAATTAATTTAATTAAGTTTTTAAATGAGTTAAATTAGCATTCATCTATAGAAACATTATAGGACGACACCATAGAAATGCCACAGAGAACAAAGAAGAAAGAGAATGAATGTAATTCAACTAATGGCTTCAAATGAGCATTTCACACACATGAATGTTAAAAGACACCATAGAGTACAATGGAATAAAAGAGGTGGAAAGTAGGAAGCCTATAAGAAAATTGTTTAGGCTGTAGACACCGTATATGTATGAACTTTTGACTGGTACGGTACCAGTACACATGAATGAATTGACTAATCTTTTCATAATCCTACATACTTTTTGATCTAATAATCACGTAATGGCCCCAGAATTAGCATTTGAGCCATCTATAAGAATGCAAATGGACTACGGCGACACAACAGAACAGAAAGGCGTGTAGTATAAGGAACTCTACAGGCAATAGATACTGATGTTCAAACGAAGAACACCTACTCAAAAAATGAGCTCATACTTTTCTGAATATTATTATTATGCTAAAATAATGGATTTTAACATGCCAAAATCATTATTTTAATTTTTTTGCAATGAGACTGTCAGTAGGAGAAAAAAACAATACCATAATTTGTACAATATTTTTTTTCATTTGAAAATAGAGTATTTTATTTTGGCCAAAAAAATTAAAGCATACTTTATTAAATATAACTATTATTGAACCTTAAATGAGGACAACATTTGAAAAATTGATGCAGTTAACCCAGGCTTATTATTCAGAAACTACAGAGACTTCAGTGTAAACTGGCTGAGCTATTCTTAGGTTCTAAAAGTGTGTAATAAAAATTTGGGCCCGCTGGTGGGCCCTGGCCTTTTAAAGGGTTAAATCACAGGTCAATGCATGTTTACAACTCCTGTGAATGTGGGTGCTGTCTCGCACCTTTAGGTCCCAGCAGCAGGGCTTCAGTGGCCTTTCCCCCGTCTCCACAGCGTGCCTCGTCAAAGGGCAGGCACTGCTCCCCCGTTCCAGCCACTACCTCCACGTTCTGCAGCAGCTCCTTCGTTCCCGACAGCACTTTGGGTCTGAAGATCCGCCGCGAATTTGTGTCCGAAACATACAGCTGACCGGTCATGGGGTCAGTGGCCAGGTAGTACCGATGTGCAGGGTTGTTGCTACAGAGACAAAGTCAGCAATACATTATGGATATGGAACTGGATGGTGCAAAAAAACACAGGGTCTATCTGGAAGAATGGTTTAGGACTGGACACTTTTATTAGGATGGAGTAAAAACAAAGGAGAAGAACAAATGAGGGGAATGGAGGAGACTGGATAAAGCAGGTGCTTTTAATTCCCCACAGTGTTTTCCTTACCGTTACTTATGTAACAGAACACAAGAGAGTGGCTGAGATCTGGTCTCAGGGATGTGCTGAAAGCAAGTGCCGTAGAGCAACACAGCGGTGATGTTAGTCACGATATTACACATCCTAAAATGTTTCATTGCTTTTATTCAAAAGTTCTACAAAATTGCAAAGAAGCCCTACACACATCAAATGAAAAAGCTTTAATATAATAAATTCCTACCACCAATAAAAGAGCCAACTTTCAACTCAGTTTTTAATGTTTGCTAGATTAACCTGCAAGTTGTTTGGTTGCAGATAGCCTATAAAGCATTTCACAGCCCATCTTGTTTGCTGAATTGCATTCTGTTTGTTTTTGGCTAATTGCTTAGCCGCAGCTAACACACGAAGAGCGTGCTTCACAAACAACAGTATGGGTAGAACACTTCTCAACTAAGCAGAATATGCCCTTTGAAACGGCTGTATAAAAGCAGCTTACACACTTATACCAGCTAATAAAGTACAAATAATAAGCACTAATAATAAACTAAAAATAATAAACTAAAATGCCTGAAATTTGCAGTATCAGTAATAGTAGCAGTTGTAGTAATAGCATAGGCGCCAACTACAGGAAGGGCACTGACTCATTCACCCTTCCTAAACTAAATAAAGCAAATCCTAGAGCAAAGCTAGAGAAAAGTCACTGTAGTAAAATGCATAGAACAGTTTGAAAACAGCTGCTATAGTGAAACTGCAATTAACAGTAGGCCTTTAAGCTGCAAAGTTGTTACGGCAACAAGAAAAACTGTGCTGTCTTTCACATATAAGTGTTTCACTCACGGGTTCTTATTACATCATGCAGGACTGCCAGATTTGTGGTTTTCCAGTGCGGGTGGATTTTTATACAGTCATGGGGTGTGTTTTTGTTGGGACTATTTTGTAAGTCATGCCATGGAAAAAGGTTTGGAATATAAATGAGTAGTCCAATGCATGTACACTAAACCTAGTACACATTAACAGTAAGAGAGGCCGCAGAAGAAGGCGGCTTGTTTGGTGGTGATGCCATTCTAAACCTGACTCTTAACACAACTGTCTCAGCAAATATCATAAATCATAAATAATGTTAAATTATATATATATATATATATATATATATATATATATATATATATATAAAATAATAAAATAAATCATAACTGATCATTAAGAACAATAAAACTTTTATATAGGTTAGGCCATGTGCCTTTGTCTTCTTTTTCTGCTCCACCCTGGCTGCGTCTACTCTATTTCCCACACCTCCAGCCCATATCCTGGACCTGTTTAGGTTCTCATCCAAGCAAAGGCATCCCTTTGTGTTCCCTGGGTGTTGGTGAAGTCTCTGCTTTGATAACCCAAGTTCCAAGCCTTTTTACTTTGTGTGGGTCTTTCCTTTGTTTTTGACCCCTGCTTGACATTGACTATGGATATGCCTCTTATGTTGCCTGCTTGTGTTTTGACCCTTGCCTGTTGTGACAGTGATTATTGGATATTCCAAATAAAGCCACTTTGCACTTGCAACCGACTTGCATGCCTTGTCCATCACATAAATGTAATCCAAGAGCAGAACAGGTGAGGGTGACTAGTTTTTATGTTCTCTTGTACTATGACACACCTCTCCCAGCTATTAAAGGAGTTTAACAGGTAAGCAGGTTATGATGATTATTTTATTAGGAAAAACAAAGAAGCATAGACTACTGTAGTGTTAGTATTGTAGTATTAGCATTCGTACTAAAGTGTTAGCATTGCAGTAGTACTGCAGTGTTGGTATTTCAGTATTAGTATTGCAGGCTCAGTGCTATAGTAACAGTATTGCAGTTTCTTAGAGCAGTAGTAATATGGCAGTATTAGTACTGCAGTATAATTATTGCAGTACTAGAACTGAAGTGCTAGTGCTGCAGTATTTGTATCACAGTATCGCAGTACTCCATTAGTATGGTTGTGTTACTGCAGTACTAATACTGCAACACTGCAATGCTTAGTAGTGCAGTATTATTGCAGCATTAGTATTGCAGTATTAGTTCTGCAGTATTATTATTATTATTATTGCAGCAGTAGTGCTGCATTATTTGTATTGTAGTATTATTACTGTGGTATTAGTATTGCGGTATTAATACTGCAGTGTTAGTATAATAATTATTGCCACAACAGGCAGGAGTCAAAACACAAGCAGGCCACAAAAGCAGTGTTAGTACTGTAATATTAGTGCTGCACTGGTACTGCAGTAATAGCATTTCAGTATTAGTACTGAAGCGTTGGTACTGGGCTAAAGGGCTAGTTTTGTTCAGGCTGTATTTGAGCCAATGGAGAATATTTTAGTGGACGCTGTTCATTAGAGCAAAGCGGCGTTAGACCGTGAGCACTGTCTTACACTGAGCTTAATGCAGACTGACTGGAGATCAGTGCAGACTGACACCACCGCAATGATGGCAACCAATCTGTCACGTCCTCTCCATCACCTCCACTTTATCACCAAAAAAACACAGTCAGCGAGTCAGCATGAGGCGACAGGCGTCTGCCGAGAAAAAAATCAACAACTCCTCACAGGGCGTCAATTAACACAAGCTAAGAATAGAATGTGTGTGTGTGTGTGTGTGTGTGGTGTGTGTGTGTGTGTGTGTGTATGTCTGTGTCTGTGTCTACTCTGGGGAGAACACCTCGCAATGACACACATAGAGGCACAGATGAAACTCCCACGCCCTGCTGTTCTTTTAAAGGGCCTTTATTACTGATCTGGGAACAGCACTTCTGATCTCAAAGTACATCTGCTGATCAGAGTGGGACTTGAAGGCATAGTCCATAAAAAATCTAATTTACACAGTTTACCCCAAATTTAGTTGATCAGGCAATTAGACAGATAAGGAGGTAGACAGATAGATCTTTTCTTGCCCAAAACAAAGCCCAAAGTAATTAATTAGTGTGGAAAAACAACTCAATTTTAAACTAATTCCACCTCAGGCTGTGTAAGACTATGGTGAAATACAGGCTTGTAAGCCACATGGAGTCAGTTGAGAGAACTGTAATACTAAAGAGCCATCTGACTGACATGCAAAACAAAATGCCAGTTAAAAATCTCACTAAAAGGTGAGTTTCTGAAAGCTGAAAGCTAATTTTAGCGTGCAGTGTGCATAAGACAGTCTGTGTACTTCTCTGGGCAGAGTGTCTGAGGCTGAAGCTTACAACAAAACTCTTCTACACTATCCGAGCCTGTATTAGCAAGCTACTAACAAAATATTTTTCACAGAAGTCCAGAACACGCACCTTTTTTCATATGTTAATCACAACTAATCCACTAGTTGACAGATTTCCATCACATGAGGTCACTGGAGATGCATTTGAGACACATGGAAATGCCAGTTGTATATGGCTACACATCTCGCTGTCCAATTATAGTCACATCACTCGAGACAGATCTTAATACCAACACTGTTAACTATAAGGAGACCGAAAAAAATGTCCCATCAGTGTCCCATCAGTGTTTGACCCTGGAAATGTCCCAACAGTGTTTGAACTCAGTGTTACACTTTTAAAACATGGCATGGTGCTGACTTCCCAGTGAATGGAAAATAAGCAGCAAAAAACAGCCCGTTTTGGATTCTTTTTTTTTTTGTTATGTTACATTTTGTGAAAATAAGTTAACATATCCTCTACAGGGAACACTCTTGAATATGACATTTTTCTGCTAATTTTAGAGCACAGGTTCTATGTATTTGCTGAGTATAACATATTGATAAAATGTGCCATAATAAATACATTTGTGCCAAAGGCCAATATGTATGTTTTTTGTTCCCTCAATATATTAAATTCAGCAAATTAACAGTAATTGTGCATTAAAATGTACAGAAGTGTGTTCTCTGTACAGGACAAGTTAACCCATTTTTACTCAGGCAACGCAAGGCAAGGCAAGGTAAGGTCCGCCCAAACTTTTGCATAATGAGGTATATTAGTCTTAAAGGCACAGTCACAAAAACAGCCTGTTTGATTATAAAGAATAAAGAGAGGCCACAAAAAAACAAACTACACGTGAAACATGATATCATTGTTTCCGCCCGCTGGTGGAGCTACAGTGATTTAATCCGAAATCTGAAGGGGTTAAAGGTTTATTTCATTGAAGTCAGTACTTTGCTGCTGAAATTTTCTAGATAGCTTTACAAAATTTTTTACTCATCTGTTTCAAACATTTTACTTACAAAGCACTTTGTCCAAAGCAGCTTTCCTGAGAAATTATATAGTTATATAATGAATTACATTACATTTGATTCACATTCAGTGAGACAAAAATGTAAAGGCTGGTCTCTGCAAATGAACTGTACAATAAATCATAATGAAAAGATCTCCTCTTTTACTCACCAACACATATATGGTATGGATTGAAAGTTAATAATCTGCACTGTCCACTCAATTTCTCTGCTTGTTTCAATGAGCATATTTCAGTGAATAATTCATATAAAATTACAGCGTGGTTTTGCTATTAGTATTTATAACTCATGAGCATTAAAGTCTGTTAGAAAAGTGTCAGAGCAGGGTCTGGTGGGTTTTCGGCTGTGTTAGAGACATACACAGTTTGTTAGAAGCTGGAGGTCAGGCTTCAAAGGCAGAGTTTATAGTGACTCAGCTGTGAGATCATAGGTTTGGGCCTTTTTGAAGCCCCATAGGGTTTAATTGGAGCTCGGTGGTGCTCATGAGTGGATATAAACGCAGCTAATTTGAAGCGTGCAAGCTCAAGTCATTAAGGCTGGTTAAAGTTTGAGACGAAGGATAAATTTTGTAATCCTGCAAATGTAGAGGCCATTCCTCTC